CATAGTAAATGGCTTTAGAATGAAGACTGAAATTTTCTCTGTTGATTCTCATAAATGTTTAAGCTTAATCTTGAACACAGGGCTTGGTTTTAAAAAAAGACCACTCTACAAATGGTGTGATGTCAGAAACAGTACATTGTAAAGACTCTATGTAATTTCCACAATCATATACTGGATTCAAGCCAGTATGATACTTCAGATGTGCTTTACAGCTTCAAACAGCATCCTATGTTCAATTTTGGGAAAATATTAACAATGCAGGCAAACTATACAGTAGAAAACATCTTATTTTATGGCTACTGCAATATTATCATAACCTAGTTGTAAAAGTACATCAAAACACACAGCATCGCCAGCTTTAGCGTAGAACTAGTACTTTTCTGAATCAGAAAAGGATCATCATCTTTACTGCAAATTAATTTTGTTTTTTAGTTGTCCGTTATTTAAATGTTAAAAGAGGTAACTCAGCTTAGGGACGGATCATGATCTGTGCATTTATCCGTCAATTCAGTCTGCCGCAGTTTAGCCCTGCCCACTCTCACTGAATTTAAAGGGAGTGTTTCAGCCTGGAGTGTTAAAACAGGCCTGCCAATCAGAACAGAGCTCATATTCATATAGCAGTCTTAAAGGCCCACTGTAACAAAAACAGCCTGTTTAATTGTTGGAAAATGGCCTTGTTAAAAAGAATTATGAATATTTTTGGTAAATACAACCACATAAGTCATATAGGGAAAAGCAACAACAGAAAACTAAACAGCGCTTGCATGTTTGGAGCAAACGTGGCCCGAATCTGTTTGTGCAACCCTACAACAGACACATGACAAGGTTTTTACTGCCTTCTTCCTTTGTTCTGGGTGCATGCAACCAATCACCCAAACTCTTCTCAGTTCCACAGTAAAACTGTAAATCCAGATTTATGGAACATTGCAGGATGGTTTGAACATAGAAAACTAATGGACAGATCTCTATAATAAAAAACAGCACCTTTGTTTTAATTCATTGCGACTGACTGATACAATGAGGTCATTGACAAGTGTGTTCATTTTCACCTCTTGAGGGAAATTTTCAGCACTGTAAACCAAGATAACTGTAAACACCCACAAGGCATAATGCTTTAGCAACGGATTTTCACATTGTACAGTGTAGGCAGAGAGATAGCAACTGCTGTAGACCAATGTTTTCCAGTATAACCAACCTTTGAGCCATCTACTGATGACAGTTTGAGCAAGAGAATAGTTTGATCACTGCAAATGAAATTAACAGAAAACAGATGCCATGGTCACTGGTTTTAAATTGATTGGAATTGCTCCTGTTGAATCTTATAAATGTCTAAAATTTATCCCAAACAGAGGGCTTGGTTTTAAAAAGAACACCCTATAAAAAGGTAGGATTTCTTATGGCAGCTATAGATCTTTTCAAATTAGTGAGTGGCTAGTGTGTATGCTTTGCAGCAATGTACTGTCAGAAACAGTATGTATCCTGAAGAGTCTATGTGACAGCAAGTTAGTAAAGTGTATTGATTTTAGCTGTTTAACTGAGTCCAAGCACCCGTTTGTGGGAGTACATCTACTACAGATCAAAGCACACTGCCCCAGTGACGTACCAAACTACAAGCTTAAAGATGGGTTTTGTGTGCAGTTGCAGGTATTCTCATGCATGCCTCAGCACTGGAAGGGAAATTACATTAATTGAATAGCTCTGCAAAAAAAAACACACAATTTTCTCTTCTGCCCAAATGTAGTTGACCAGCTAATGTTTGCTATTGGCAGTTTGCTTCTTTAGTTTTGTACTGAAGTCACAAAGCTACTATAGCTAACAAGTAATGAAACTGTTAACTTTGTGAAGAACTGCATGTCTAAATCACACACATATGCCTCACAACATGCCAAACTGTGTCACACAGACTTGCTTTTGAACAAAAAAACTAAAGTACAGACAAAATTCAGGCTTCAAGATGGCTGCTGATTCTGTTTTTAGCTATGCAGCATATGTCTGTGCATGTTTCTGGAACTTAACATGCAGTTTAAGTGTTTGATAATTTAGCCATTGCAGTTAATGTTAGCTTTATGTTAGCCCTGTAGCTCCAACACAAAATTAAGCAGATTTTTAGACACCAAATATGTTTCAGCTAATCTGACAAAACTAAATAGATTTTTTAAACAAACTATTCCTGAAAAAAACTTCAATAGAGTCAAACTCTGCGTCAAGTAGGCCTGTCACATATATTACATAATCACCTGATTGCAGTTATTTGAGCTAATTGCAGTTGTTTAAAATTACTGTAGTTATACTCCACAGTGGTCAACTTTCACAATCATATGTTCACGTCGGTGGGTTTTCATACTTTGGTTTAATGATAGTTTTTAGATAAGGTTTTGGCTTAAAATTTATTTTTTAATATACATTATTGGCAGAAAGATAACAGAGAGTGTTATAACAAACTAGTCAATCAAACCATGTACACCTCAACAACTGTATTATGTAGGAACAAATAATGGTGGGATTCCACTTTAATAGATGCACACATTGAGCAAAAGAAGACAGTTACATTTTGAATCGCAGATATTTACATGGCAATTAATCATCAGATAAAATTGCATGAACGTGACAAGCCTAGTGTTCAGTAATCCAAGTATCCCCTTCTCTGGTACCTTAATGAAGCACAGAAAAGAAAACCATCCCTGCATATCATATGTACTGAGAACTGAAAAGGACAGTAGGTGTGATAAATTGTGTTTCCTTGGTACAGTATGCTTGTGCATGATTTTTAAATACAGAATGATTGTTATAGATGATCTTTGTAAACTGACCTCAGGCAGGTCATTAATGATAAAATGTTAAAATATCACTGAAAGTAAAATGTTCTATAAAAGTACAAACTTGTCAAACATCAGGACACAAATAAGAATTTGCAACATAGGGCCATTTTGACCAAAGTTAGAATTGCAAAAAACTTTTAAACCCCCCCACAAACGAACTGAGACAACTGGATTACAAATCCATCTGGGATAAAACACGTTAATATATATACATAAAAATAAAAGAGCATAAAATAAATCAAAAGGTCCAATTGTCAGGTTAATGTTTCAGAGTCAGAATCTCAGAGCACAGCTCTAAACCTGCTTGCATGCAGGTACTTTGTACTCAGTCACATCAGGACATCTGTGGTCTGGAAATACAGTACTGAGCACACTGTACTGTGCAGAAGTCAGAGACCACCCTACGTTTATGTAATTTCCAGTCAAAAGGGCCTTTAAGTACAAGTTATTCATTTTTGCAGCGTTACAAAAAGCAGAAAACATATATTTAACGGAACATTACACAGACATCTCCAAATTTAAACTAAACAGAATGTTGCATATTTCAGTATTTAATGTGTCTACTTTTCTGCTCTTCTATTTCTTTTGGGGGACTTGCTTTCAGTTTTTCAAAGAAATCTGCAGGGATATTTTTTCACATCTCCAAAGTTCAGTCTTAGAAGTTGGTTGCATTTCTCATGATCCAAATATCCCTAAACACTGGACTTTGGGGTGGCCAGTCTATTGTTCCAAGAACGCCAGCAGGTTCTTTGTTAGATTTATACTTAATGGCTATCTTGACTGGAGATTAAATGCATAAAGAGTCGTCTCTGGAATTTGCACAGCCCTGTAGATTAATCTATGTAATGGAAAGTGAAACCCTGACAAACATCAAGGCTACACTCATAAACCACTGTGTCAAACCCTGTCACTCACCATTCATTCATATCCCTGATTCTTATCTTAATGTTGTGGAAACTGTGTATCTGATCTGTGGTGAGATAAGTGACGAGTAAACAAACACTATTTCAGCATAGTGACCTATCACAGGAATCTGAGCCATACTGCTCATAACAGTAACAGTTTTTCATTAATTTGGCGTATGTCGGAATACAGCTTTTTTGCCAGTCCGCTGTATCTTTAAAGCTGCAGAACAGTTGCAGAAGACGTTTTGTTCTTGAAGATGAGCACTGCTGCTCATAACCGTGACCACAACTGGGCGTTCAAGAGTGAGTAAGTTCTGCCACCTCAGCCATTTGCTGAGAAGTTTTCAGGTCACTTCTTAGAACTTGGTTGTTTCCAGTTTCACGTTAGACAACGAAGAAAAACAATGTACATCTAAAATTGACGTTTTTGCAAACCATTTCAGCAACGTTGCAGTCCTAATAATGTCATGTCCTAAAATAATCTGTGCATGCAGTTCCACGTGACCCTGACATCCTTATACTTAGTATGTGCTCTGATAATGTTTCATATGTATACATACATTCATATATGTATATATATATGTTGTAGAAAGAAAACCTTGCATCTCCAAAATGGTAGCTTTACAGGAGGAGAAAACCTACTTTACTTTTAATGTAAGGCAATGGAAGCAGACGTTTTTGCAAGTTATTCTGGGCCGTTTCTTTTGGTCCATTCTTCATGAAATTTACATTCAATATAAAGGGTAACAGGCATTTTCAAATTATGTCAAAAACTGCAAAACGACAAAAATGGAGATACGAGGTCCTCTTCCGACCGCAGCAATATACAGTCATATTGTAACTGCAATGTTATCCATTGACACTCCAAACCATTTCTCCAAACCACTGTTCACAGACCTGCCCGCAGATCTCAATTTTGCTTTGATTTCTATTTATATAGGCTTTTATAAGGCTTAGGATGTAGACGTCCTTGAAGTTGAAAGGAATACCCCAGTAGTTTCCAACCTAATCTCTATCTGTATCTGTACCATATTGTCAGTCTCCATAGACGATAATTTCTCTGTGCTTAGAAAAGAACAGAAAACCTGTTTACTCAAACTACACTTATAATAGAAGCCAATGGGCAGGTGCTCCATCATCTTCCTATTGGCTTCTGGTTCGTTTACTAAGCAGAGGGAATGGTGTCCAAATTTATTGTCTTTGTATATCAACCATACAATACAGAAAAAGCAGATAGAACTGAAGCTGAAAAACGCTAGAATATTCCTTTGCGAGGTTAAAGAACAGAGCCATGTTTGTATGAAGGTGTGCTGGCCTCACAGTTATTTTCCCTTTGGCCTTTGTCCGCCACCAGTGGTTCAGAAAGCCTGAGCATCTGTCCTCTGTAGTTGGGATTGGGAAAGGAACTGGCGAAATGGTCATCTCCTTCATCCTCTTCGTCCTCCTCTTCATAGACGCTGAGCTGGCAGTCTTGCAGTATAGTGCTTTGTTCCATGCTTGCTTTGTTTTGTTTATCCAGATCATCACGGTACAGAAGAATCACCTCATGTACCTCTTCCGTTGCTGCACTCAAATTCTACAAGAGAGATCGGACGTTAGCACGGGCATTCACCAATTTATGCCCACAAGCACATACTCACCCACTCACAAAGATACACATAACCACAACATGCTGAATACGCATGCAGCTTTTTGAAGTTCAGCATTTGTGAAACCTTTATGCTGCACTCTGTATTTGTGCAGTTTGCTGACTCTATATAAATTCTTTCATTTTTTACCTGACCACATGGGGAAACCCTTATTCAGGTCACAAAATAAACAGGACATTGCACTTCCTGCTTATGATGTCAAAAGCGTAAACCCCAACCAGAAACACACAGCAATGCCATGTAACCCCTTTAACTGCAGCCGCATTATTCTGTTTTTAGACTTCATATTTAGCAAGTCTTATTAATTATACAGTACCTATTGTAAATTATTGTTTAACTACTATGAATTATTCATTTCCTGCTGTGAATTTATAATACAGTCAGATGCAAAAGTTTAAATAGCCCTGGTCAAATTGCATGTTTTGCTGATTTCTAAGTTTCTACCTTAGAACCTTACCTAGGGAGCAAACTTCAGCATTTTTCTGCAATTTTTTGCTGAGTTTAACCTACTGGGGGAAAAAACATGTGCCATAACTTTTACGTGCCCAAAATAATTATGTGCCCTTTTGCACACACCACATTTTATATATTTTTTGTGTGTTAAATTCAGCAAATAAACAGTAATTGTGCATTAAAATGTGCAGATGTGTGTTCTCTGTAGAGGATGTGTTCACTTACTTTTCACCTAGAAAATCAATAAAATGTGTAATTTGACCAAGGGCACCTATTGTGTATGATTGTAAGTTTTAAAAATGTATTCAATAACTGCTATGAATTCATTCTGCAACAACTGCTATAAATGATTCAGTAACTCCTACAAACAATTAATTAGCTACCAGGAATTATTAATTAACCACTATGAATTATTAATTAACTACTATGAATCATTCATTAACTACTATAAATTATGTAGTAAATACTATGAATTATTCAGCAACTACTGTGAATTATTTAGTAAATGCTGTTAATTATTCAACAATCACTATGATTATTTAGTAATTACTATGAATTATTCAGTAACTACAATGAATTTTACAGTAGCTACTAAGAATTATTCTGCAACTATTATGGATTATTTTGTCACTACTATGAATTATTCAATACCTACTGTATATTATTTGGCAACTACTATAAATTATTCAATAACTACTGTATATTATTTGGCAGCGACTATGAATTATTCTGTAAATATTATTAATTATTCTGTTATGACTATGTATTTTTCTGTTCTGACTTTAATTCAATCAAAAACTATTTGGCAACTACTACAAATTTTTCAATAACTACTTTATATTATTTGGCAATTACTTTGAATTATTCTGTAACTACTTAGGACCTAATATATGTGTACTTATTTGAGAAGGGGTTAATGGTCCTTTAAAAGCATGAGTGGTTCCAACCTGGTGATGTAGACCTTCGGAAGCTGTAGCAGTAATCACAGGGCTTGGGACCATGGGTAAGATCTTCCTCTTTAACCTGGAATGTGAGTCACACACATAAATACATCACACCAAAGATTGCATTGGTGATCATTTTACAGTATTTACAGAACAAACTACTGAAACGAAAAAGTAGGCCTATCATGTTGAATATGAGCATGATGCTGTAATAAACTAGATTCATGAAGCAGATAATACTTCTGAATACTTCAGCATTTTTCAACCTAATCTCTTTATCAATATGACACAGCGAGTAACCACAGACTATAGTTTTAACACAGTTCACTGTGTTAAAACAGACACCTACTCAGTCAAAATACACTTATAATAGAAGCCAGCAAGCAATTGCTTCAGTAGCAGATTTCCCTGTCATATTTTGCACAGGGAAATGCATGAAAATTATTGTTAATGAAAAGTAACCTTTTTGATATGCTACAGATGCTGGAGTGCACCTTAACAGATGTTCCCCTCCTTACCTTCTGAGAGCAATGGAGAAGAAAACTGAGAGCACAAGCACAACTCCGCCGACGCTTAGGATAACCTTTGATAACACTGATGAAAGAAAGAAACGTTGCTGATGAGCTGCATAGACTGGTTATGTGAACATACACAGATCATACTCATAAAAGAACATTCGTAATGACTGAAAAATTTACCATTACTGGGTGCAGCAAATGATGTCGGGATCAAGAAGTTTGCAGTGGCTTTAGGCCCCTCTCCTACTTTAGTCCGCCCAGCGATATAGACAGTGTAAGAGGACCCTGTAGTGAGGTTTCTGAGATGGAAACTAGTTTGATGCTCTGGCACCTCATGGTAATCTGTGAAATTGAGAGATGAAGAGTGAGAGTTGTTTTCAAAATAAGGCTGTCATTATAATAAGAATGAAATTATTGCAAGAGTAACAGTCATTAATGTTGTTGTAGAAAAAGCGCCGTGGCCTCTCCAAAACTAGTTCTGACTTACCGAACTAAGAGCAAGCACACTTAATGTAAATTGCATTGCTGTTTCGTAGGCTGCCTTTGTATAGTGAAACTTTCATGCAACTAATTGCATGTTGTGAGTTGGCTGCAACATAATTTCAGTGCAACTTGACGGTTACATGAAGCAATTAAAAAACAAAGTTGCATGCAACGCATTTGGATTACTCCACTACTCATATTTCTGATGCCCTATACAAGAAAAAATTTAGAAAAGATCGAAGACGAACATCGATTTGAGGATGAATGGACTTTTATTACCGCTCCAAGTGGTTTCCTTATATGAATAATCTGCAACAAAAAACTGTCAAACACAAAGTCACAAAGCTGAAGTCATCTTGTTCGAATTCTCCCGTTCCACCTTAAATCATTTAGCAGTTACATTTTGGCACCTCAGGCACCATTTAAGGTGGAACAGAAAAATTCTAACAAGAAGCTGGTGAATGAGAATCTGACTTCAGTCTCTTAAAAAGTCAAACGTTGAGTGACATTTTACGAGAAACTATTCTACTTTTGCGGAAAAGTTTCCTGCCGGAGAGCTAAAACTTAAAGTAGAGCAAAATAAGTCTGCATTTTCTATTTTATATTTTTTAGCCCATACTAGTACATTAGCATATACTGAGACATATGTACAGCCAAAATAGTAAAATGGACATGAAATGTTGCGGCTCCCAAGGTGGTTTGATTTTTGTTGAAAGAACAAATTGGCTCTTCTTAACATTTGGGTTACCGACCCCTGGCCTATACTATTCTCTCTATGAAGTCATCTTTTGAGCGTTATTTTACATATTTGCAGCATATTTGGCAGCATATTGTCTTCGTATCATTTTTCCAGCTGTCACTGCCATTTTTCCTATATCTATATATCTGTCTTTTATCTATCTGCCTTTCTTTATATTTTTAAGCTGATCTGGGTATGTAAAGCCTTCGAAAATTGCTCAACAAACCATCTTCTGTTTTAGTATCGACTAATGCTGTGAAATGAATTGTTTGAAATTGTCATCAACATGATCATTTGATGCGCATCTTCATTGCTTTACTTCATGAAACTTGATTCACTAAGTTGAGATGCTTGCTCAACTGTTGCAGTTGAGTTTCAAATGAGTTGCATGAAGGTTTACATTATGCAACTCAAGTGCAATTTAGTTTAACGTAGGTTTCCAGCAACTAAAGTTGTACGTCAGTTTTACTGTGTAAAATTGCAGTAATTTTAGACCGGCGCTTTAAGGAAAACATGCAAATATTCCCAATGACATATATTCATATTGTTTCACTGCTTTAGACTGAAAATCCTTCAGTGTAGCAAAATACCTCACCTGTTTCACCATCTTGTCTCAAGACCCAGATTGCGTAGTGCAAAAGGAACCCGTGCTGGTCCTGGACTGGAATCGGTCTCCACAACAGCAAAGCGGAATCATGAGTCACATTTACTGTGACATTCTGTGGACTTGCAACAGGTGCTGTCAAAAAAATAATTATTTTCTGTTATTACTTTATTTTATAATCTTATTTGAAGTATTTCTATTTTTTTCCCTCAGCAGTAACAGGTACATTAAGCATGTTAATACTTATTCTGAACTTACCTCCTTCTGAGGAATAAATGGGACACATGATTTTGGTGTGCCATTGTTGTTTGCTTTTTTTGACGTGAACAAAGTAGTAATAACGGGCAAATTTCTCCATATCTGAAATCATAAAAGTCATATGTGAAGGCAAATGTGATATGTAACCATGTTGTTGTGGTCAGATCACAACCTTGTAAAACTGGAATTTTTAAAGTGGTCCAAAATTATTTGAAATAAAATCTTCTCCTGAAAAAGAGATATAAGGTATCTCAGATATATACAGATATACACAGTGCCATGCAACAGTTACCACAAAATATTGTGACACATTTATTTCATTGACCACATTTATTTCATTTCCAGTCATAACAGCCATTAAGTACAAGTTATTCCTTTCTCATGGTAACAGAAAAAACAGAAAACATGTATTATATAGCAAGTGTTATATCATATATTTCAGTATTTAGAGTGTCCACCATTTGTCCTTTTGGGAAACTTTTCAAAGAAATCTGCTGTAATATTTTTCCTGGCAAAGTTCAGTTTTAGAAGTTGGTTGCATTTCCAGCTTCTTACTATCCTGATAATTTTATTGTAATAAAGTATTTTGTGATAAATTACATTATGGTATGTCACAATATGCTTTTCTGAGTATATCATTGTTGCCAGCAACACTTCCCAACTGCATGTTTCATTCAAAAGACAGCAGGAATTATTCCATTTATTGCATTCAGTGCAGCTTAGCACGTGAAATGCTGAACACAAATCACTGCATTCATAGTTTATGATGGTATTTTTAAATGAAGCACTACTTTGTGTTTTCCAACTTATCAGATGTCAAAAAAAATATATCATGACAAATTGTGTATCATGAAAACCTCTTGAAGTATCATGATATTGAAATATTGTAATATTGCCAAGCGCTACTTTAAGTACTGTTTTTCTGATGGTGACAGTTTTGGTGGTCTGCCAGGTCTTGCACAGATGTTAGGAGCGCCATGTATGGTCACTTTGACTGGAGGGTGGTCTCTGAAACTGTATATAGCATATTTCTTTTATTATGACTCATGGTTCTTACCTTTCTTAATGGACTCGACTGTAGCGTTGCTCGCGGTGTTTACATGTATCGGCCGGGTTTCACCATCTAAGAGCTTATACCACTCCAAGCAGAAGCGCTTCTTCTGTGGCAGTGTTCCTGAATCTGTGCGGCAGTCTTTGAGAGACACAAACAGAAGTACAACTGGCAGATGAGACCTCATATTTGCTTTCAGTTACTGTCACTCTCTGTCACATTCATTTCCAAAATAACACTTACTTTTTAAATGTTGGACGTGCGGTATGGTAATCTCTCGAGAGGCTGACTCCGACACATTGTTAATAGCTATGATAGAAACTCTGGCTTCAGAATTAGTTACATTCATGTTATAAGATGTTTTCTTAGTGGTTTTGGTTTTAGTTTCACAAGGTAGCCTCAGAGTCAGGTTGTAAGTGACACCTCCACAGGAGGCTTCAGGAGGTGGCGCCTGAAAAAAATAACCAAAACAGAAGTGTAAAATTCAGACATGTTGAGACAAGTAATGCTTTAGACTAACCTGATTCTACAATGTACATCATTTCTATGTGAAAAAAAATGTACAACAAAATTAATGTGGAAATGATGTACACTACACACTCTCTCTTTGTATTTGACCAGAAACTTACATCCCAATTGAGCACAACTCTCCTCATCCTTTTAGTCTTTTCTTCTTTCCAGTGGACAACAGGCATTTGAATTTCTACAAAACAACCAGTGACGTTCAATTATTAATTACATTTTCATGTTACATACGATTTACAGTCTGAGGTCAATATTTAATTAGATTTTTGCATTAAAATGTCTTGATTCTACACAGACCTAATCATATACTACACAGACTGAAAAATTAGGAAAAATATTTTTTATTATAGAAAATCCCAAAAGATTGCAAAGTAGTATATCCTTGTGGAGAATAGTGATTTTATTAAAAAAAAAAAACTAAAACTGAGCCATAAACAATACAGGAACCTAAACTATCTAAAATAAAATTCTCATAGCATGTCTCCACTTTCATTTTTCATTTATCCATAATATAAACCCCCTCCCTTTTTGTTTTGATCACTGGTTTACAAACCAAACAAGTGCTATCCTGTGCTGGACTTGACCCTTGCTCTCCTGGACAATAACTGTTAGCGTTGCTCAATTTATGCACCTATTCTCAAAGCTGTACTATGTAAGACTTGAGGATTTGGAGGCCTCTCTGGTGGAAATGTGTAATTGCATGTAATGTACAAAAGAGCACTGTGTAATGTGGGTTGTGCTTCAGACTCCTTCCCTCAGTGGATGAATCTGATGACTGCGAGCGCGTTAAAAGAGCATACAAAGAGAACACAGTCAAAACTTGGTGAAGGATGTGTCTTCTGAGGATGTGTATATATTATCTACTATTATCATCATACCTTCATCAGTATAATGTTGATTTTGCATTTGAGACATAAACATCGAGCCAGACCTTCTTTTTGAGCCTTTGAGTGTGAATATGTAAAGACATATAGCGTGACTAAAAAACTGACATCCGACCCACCATATTTTAGCACATTTTCTTTTCTCAGTAATGATACCTCTTTCGATTTTAATAGAAAAATCTTATAGTGCTGCTGAAACTGCGTGTAGCAATAATGGCTACTGTCACAGCAAACCTGCATCACCATAATGAGCATTTAAATTAAAAATATTTTTATAGGCCTACACATAGAACAAACTGTACAGGTAATGCTGACATCTTTTCTAACACACTTCCAATCCACAAAACGTGCCTTCTGATGTAAGTAGTTATAAGTATTTCAGAGAACTACTCAGTCAGAGAACAATATTTTAATCATAGGTTTTTAATGTGATATCCAACTGTTTTATTTAACACTGTATTTTCTGCCCGTATTGTGCAGACCTAATAGCAAATGAGAGATGGAAGAGGCAGAGTGGCATATCAGTAATAAAGTCTTAAACTTTGTTCTCCTGACTCAGACTGTGTCTCGATTCTCTTACTAGTTATGTGTGTAGTTAATCAGTACATAGTAAATATGAATTCAGGCACTGGCTGTGTGACACGGGTGCGAAAAACAGTGTGCAACGACAAAATACCAGTAATGTTGAGTGGGAAGCTCATCCGCTGTGCTTAGCCAAACTGTCATTTTTAGGAATGTTCCAGTCATTTCATGAACGCTCTCATTTTGTTTTCTTTGAAACCCAGAAACAACAGTGTCAAAGTCACACGCCTTTCTTCAGGCAATTAACACTGCTAGCATAACTCTAATTTCCATTAGCATCACTTTCGTCAAGCTAACCTAATTCACCTAAACAATTCATAGCACTTGTAGCTAAAACTCAGTCAACTGATGACTGAATAGAAATGAAATGTGATCCTTTCAGTAAAGATTTAAATTTGAAGTCTGTAGCTGAATACTTCTGAAGGGGCTTATTAGCCTGTTAGCAGGTCAGGCTACTTAATGTCATGCTTTCATAAAATGAATGACTAAAATGCAATACTTGTGAAAATATAGCATGTTCTATTGTGTTATTATGCTAAATACATTATGTAATATTATTTTGAAGGTAGTTAGTGGCAAACATTAACATTAAAGGGGATACGTAAAGTGAAATAAGGGACAAATGCAACTGGTTAGCTAATTAGCTAACAGGTTGCTATGAACATTCTGATAATGAATGATAAACTGCAACAAAGAGTTTTGCTACACCAAAACCCTCATTACTGATACACAGTTTTGTTCAAAAGTGTGAAAATACACATTTAATACTTTGTTTCCAGGTGAAGAGGTAAGTGAGATACAGCTTTCATTTCATTTTAATATTTTTTGAAAGTTGAGATGGAGATGTGATGTTAGTTCCAGTCAGGGAGCATAACAAACAGTTGATGCTCTATGGTATTTACAGTGCATTGTGGGAGCTTTTCAGGGAACGAATGTTTCAACACAGGAATTATTCGTACAATCAGACAGCTTAGAAAATGGCTGATTTCCTGGGCAGAACCCTGACTACAGACACGCCGTCGGACTTTATGGGATTTGGGTTGAAAGATTCGGTCACGTTGGCCAACTCCGCACTCACCAACAGGAACACCAACGATACGGCTCCAGTCACTCCAGAGATTGTATCCAATGGCCCTGCGTCTAACTTGGACCTGGTACACTAAATGGTTCTCCAAGTGCAGAGTGGTGGAGTCCCAGTCAGCTGCAGAATATGGAAAAACATTAAGTTCTACAAAAGTCTCATGGACTCCAGACTCATTCTCTAAGTTTTGTTGATAAAACACAAATTATTTGTAATTTATATCTCATACTATTAGCATATCTGCAACTTCAACAGTGCTGTATGATGTGTGCCTTATTGATTTCTGGCCTTGCTATTTCTGTGAGATTGTAAAGCAGCTCTATTATCTTACAAGCAGGTCAGCACAGTTACTATGTACAGAATACCTTAATGTATAATATACTCCAGACTGTTGATTTTGCTGTACTTTGCTCTCGATGCAAAAGTTTGTGGGCTCTTAGTCAACATGTTCTGTTTAACCTCTTAGTGAAAATCAATACACATCATCTACAAAGAACACATTTTTTATTCATATTAATGTTTATTTGGTGAATTTTACATTTTAAGGAAAAAAAAGTGCTCTGAGGAAAAGGTATTGCTTTATATTGTATTTATTTACCAATATGTAAAACTCTTGTAATATGTAAAATTGCACTACAATAACAATTTGCATAAAATACCATGTTTTAGTGTGTTCCCTGTGCAGAATGTGTTAACTTTTTTCATATCAAAAATAAACAAAATGTAATTTGACCAAAGGTTCCTTTCATAACCTTCAATGGCTTCTTTCTGCTGACTTCAAAGGTGCTCCTCAAGAGCTGATGGGGTCATTTCATGCTCAAGGATGACCCACCAAACACTTATTATTACTATTATTATTATTATCAATTATTTTAGATCAACATTCAAGTCAACCATGCACTTGTAAAATGAATAGAGGAAGAGAAAGCTTTTCCCCAAATACCAATACATTTTTACTTTCTTATCCTAATATCTTTGGAAGAAACTGACCATCTGTTTACAGATATCAAACTGGCTGGCGAATATTTAAATTCTGGTCAAAATAATATGAAGAGAAACAAACCTTTGTCTTCTTTGTCCTTAGTCCGAAAAAGTGTCCTGTGATTTGATAATACATCAGATTAATAAATCACTACAAACTTTAGAAGGTCAGTAAATGATCTGATGGCATGAGACACACACACACACACACACACACACACATATATATATATATATATATATATATATATACACATAGAGAGAGAGAGAAAAGAGAGAGAGAAATAGAGAGAGAGAGAGATAAAAACATGCACTTACATTCTGCCATGAACCATAAAGGTCCTTCCATCTGATCTCGTGAAAAGCGCCTTTATTATCCTTCGGTCCAGGCCAGCTTAGCGTGAAAATTCCAGCTGACCTCACGTTTTTCTGTATATTAGGGGCACTGTATTTGACTGTTGACAACATAAGAAAAATGCAAGTAAAAAAGCTACCACACTACAAGCTTGAAATGTTCACAGTCAGCAAAAGCAAAACTACTGTCAGAACTTCTGACAGCATTTTCTTTTTGAAAAAAAGAAAGCTGATGTAACAGCAGCTTGACAAATCCTCAGAAATGGTAATTTTAAGCAAAAAGGTAGGGATGTATGATAATAAGCATGAAATAAGCATAAAATAAGCATGTCGGCATCCATGGCCAGATCAACCATATGGGCAACATAGGCAACTGCCTGAGGATACCCAGGTGGCCCTGGGCCCTACACGCATAGTTACACACAGTGTCCAAAAACTCCAAACCTTTGTTTTTAATGAAGGTGCACTCATATGTGCTTGCTGCACTCCATCAGGTATATTGCGCCACCCTTGACAACAACAGTATACTGATTTGTTTGAATTTGTCTCTTAGAGTGAAGACAGGAGAGTCCTACCTAAATGATTAAGAATCACAGAGGTATTGGATGAGATGCAAGTCATGTTCTCTGTTTGCTTCTGTACCCATATGTCTGACTGAACTGTAGTAAGCACAGATTCCAGAGGCACCTGTACGCACTGTTTATTGCCAGTTTGGAAATCAGCAGGGTATGGAGAACCAGCAGAGGATGGGCTCCTGAACACACAAATGAGAATTATTCAGGGGCAGAAAGTTTATACATTTACTGCACATTTCCTATAATTTTCATTGATTCTCAAAGTTCTTGACAGCACCACTAAAGCAGCACCATTCACAACAGTTTGCGGGAATCATAGATGCTTAGTAACCAGGCCAGACAGTATCGTAACTAGGATCTTATAGTTTGTGTTTACATTAGACTATAAAAATCAGTCGTATTTTGCTGTATGACAAGGGTTTTGCTGTATGACGGGTCTTGGCAACTGGCCAAATGAGAATAAATACAGAGATCTCTTGCTGTGCAACATACATATTTCGATAAAACAAATATTTTGGTATATATTTTTTTAATGGAATCATTACGATCTTTTAAGATTTTAAAATGACAAATAATGAACGCATCAGTTTGTGAAAGATCTGTTTGTTACCACAGATGTGATGTATTGAAAGATGTAATAAGTGATGTCAGTAACTGGGGAGGAATGTTGTTAAGAAATTGAATCTCTCTGTGAGTCATGGATGTATTATGTCAGAATCTATATGAGGGGCCCAGTAAAGATTTTAGTCACTGCAACCCCCCTTTCAAGGCCCCAGTGCAATTCCCTGCCCCCCAAAAATCGTAACAGTAAAATCGTAGATCATCAGTATGAGCTGGTATTTGTGCAGTCATAGGAGAAGGCAAAATTTTAAATGACGAAGGTCTACTTACTGTATATAAAGGGTGTAAACAGCATTCTGAGACCTGTCTGGGTCCTCCCATTCACAATAGAAATCTTCGTCACTTTGAGTACTTTCCTTATAACACCGTGGACTCGGGAATGGGCAAGTTGAACCTGTTGGAGCATAAATTTAGCTCACACCTGCATTTGCAATTAAAGAGGGGTAGAAAGTAGCAGAACACTTCTACTGTTATCCTGGCCTACAACTCAGTCATTGTATTAGAGGGGTATTACTACTTTAAGCCCTCAAACTCTAAGGTTTGTTACATTCTAAGGATTTTTAGTCAGTAATTACATAGAGAACAGTTGAAACAATGGGGAAAACAATGGAGTTTTTCTGATGTTACAAGTCTGGAATCATTGGTAGTTCCATGGCGTTTTAGAGATTAGCTTTAAAGATGTTTAATTAATTATATAATAGATATTATTTTACCTTACTGAGCAGAAAGTATGGCAGACATGTTCATTTGTAACTGGGTAATTCTCCTTTAAAGGCCAGTTCCTGCCGATTGGCCTAGAATTTTACTACACACTTCTATAACCTAAGAATAACTGAATAATAAGTCTTAGCATGTTATAGCCCTGGGATTTTAATGGGCTAAATGGCTTCAGTACTTCTTCCACCACTATGAAGGCTATTTGATGCATAAAAAAATAATGCTTGGAATTTACATGATTCAGATGTTAATGAGTTGAACATCAACACAACTGCTATCTTTCAGTTCACTTCTTTTGGCAAGAATTGACGTTATTCATGTGGAACCAGTTGCCACATCTGAATCACTCGAAGCACCAATATATTTTAAAGTGGACAGCCAATGTATTCAACTGTGTTATGCAGAAAATACTTCTGAAAAAAAAAAAATTGTGAGTGAATATGCTAAACATGCTAAAATACCAAACATGTTCTTGAGACTAACATAGTTCACCAAGCGATTCTATACATTTTCACATTGTTTACTATGTGGTGTCATTTCACAGATAGAATCTTTATCTATGTCCAGATCTTTATTTCTACTTCCGTACTGCAGAGAACATATCAGTAACATCTGCCTTTTGTGGTGTTGATACTGATCAGCATGAGCTTCTAAAGATCGGGAGTGAGAGACAGACATACCTTCAGCACCGAACGCGGTAAAAAGAAGCAAAAGCCCAACAGTCTCCATTGCCTCCGGCATTTGGGCAGGTTCCTACGAGAAGCACCTCAAGCATCTGTGACAGTCAGCCGTGAGCCTCTACCTGCCATGGTAAGCAGAAGCAAGGCACTTTAGAGTTCAGTGGCATCTGTCTTTTTGTCTCAAACTGAAACCGTAGGGGACTCGTGTCAGCATGTTGAAGCTTTTTCTTGTGTACAGACAGCTACACTGCATGACCACAAACCACAAAAGATGTCGGGGAGGGGACTTTTGTGATGGCTCAGAGGTGAACTGTCAAAGGTGTCACGGTAGTAAACGTCTAGCTGCTCGCATGTTTCGGCAAAGGAAGGACACATGCATGTCAGAAAGTGAAGACTGAAACTGCCTTATTAGTGCAAAGCCTATTGTCAAACCTTTTCATTGAATTGACTGGATTAAATGGGAATTCTGTCTTTTTTCCAAAAACTCAATTATTAAGATCTAAACAAAGTCATTCAGAGTGGTATGATGTGAAATGCTCCATTCTGAAGAAATCTACAGTCAAATCTAAAGTGGTAGTGATAGGAACCAGACATCTGAAGACTCTGAAAGCTCCCTCACAGTTAGTTATTACCAACAGGGCAACAGGCATTTTCAAATAACATCAAAAACTGAAGAACTGACAAAAATAGAGATACAAGGTTTTATTCTGACAGCAGCGATATGAAAACTCAGAAGACACATGTGGGTTCACTAACCATTAGTAAAAAAATGGTTATATTTGCATTGTAGATATCACAGCACCTGGTTCCTGTAAAGAAACTCAGGTCTGTAAGTTTCTTGACACTGAACTGTTTCACACCAAACCACTCTGAATTACACTGTTTACAATGACTATGTGAACTAAGCAGAAAAATTCCTCTTTAACTGTGCATCATTTGCACATAATAAAATATTACATGAACACAGTTTTGCCTTTGGGTCTTTTGGTAAGATAGATGTATATGTTACATATTTTCTTAAAAATAAAGGTGCTCAATATATTCTTTGAAGTGATGACATAGAATAAAACACTTTTGGATCCTTCAAGAATCTTTACAGAAGAATTTTGTGAAGTTGTGTGAAGAACCTGTAAAGTTTAAAGAATCTCCACATAATGTAAAAGTTCTATATAAATTAAAGCTTTTTCCTTCCTTCCAAGCCAAGACCCATTTAAGAATCATTATATTTTTAAGCATACACATTTAAATCAAGTCAGTTCAATGTATCTCCTTTTTCATTACAGTAAAGGCTATGGGCAGATGCTGGTAAATCAGGACTTCAGAATAAATAGGATTTGACTCCTGAAACCACTGTTTTTACATCCTCATTCTATTCTAAATCCTCTTCCGTTTCCCTAAAAGCCACAATCTCTTCAGTACAACCAACAGTCTTGGTAAAACCCAGTGTACTCCACCCACAACAGAATGCTGGCTCTAAAACAAAGTTAGCTCAATCAAAATCAGTGCAAACAGGTGGCTGTGAAATAAATTGCAGGAAATAAAGTGTACTCATTCCCAGACCACGTAAAAATAAAGAGTAAAATCTATTCCCTGATGAAGCACATACTCTCCATCCTGCTATGGTATCCAATCAATGGCATGATTGCATTGTTAGTTAAAGAAAGAATATGAAAGCTCTGAACGCTGTGCTATTCAGATTTGAACCAGCAAAACAAGCATTAAAACACAAAATCCAACCTATCCACACCACCAGCAAACCTGGCATAGCGTCATTGCTAAATCAAAACCTCAACATTTGTTTCAGTTTTCATTTGCTGTACAGCTGAACATTTCCTCATAAAGGGAACAATAAAACAGTCCAAAAAGTTCTTAAAATTAAACTGTATTATTTTAAATTTTGTTCCTTTTCCTACAAAGTTAGTATTAACAAACCATTTAGTAAGGTTTGGCAAGATTCTTTTGAATGTCATGCCATCTGAGCTGTTTTAACCCCATTTTCAGCCCAAATGCTTACCAACGGAAACTCATCTGCAGAATACAGTCTTTCAGTGTGTCTCACTGAAGCATACTGACAGTCTTTGGCCTGTGCTCTAAAAAAGGTTTCAACAGGTTTCTTATTAACCTATGTTCTTCCATTCTAATTAATAAAGGGACAGTAAAGGGGAATTCCACTGATTGCTCGAAATTTCTGTATCTATTATTACGAAATAAATAAAGTCATTCAGAGCAGTTTGATATGATGCAATCCATTCAAGACAAGCTAACCAAGTCAGAAAACTCTCCTCTGAAGTGTTTAACACTTCCAAAATCTACCTCACAGAAAGTCATGATATGAAATAGTTACAAATAGATTGTTAGAATAGTTTGGAGATCCAGTAGGGGTCAGCAATATGACAATATTTTATAGTTATCATGATAAATTGTCACAATATACAGTACAATACACTTTTCTGAGCATATCATTGATATCGTCAGCACTTAAAGAACTCTGTCCACCTGCGTGTTTCAGTACAAGGTGAGCATAATTAGGTCTGTTGAACTGGATTTAGTGCAGCACAGTTTGTAAAACACTGAATAAAAATCATTGTAGTTTGTTATTATTATAGCATTTTTATATGTGGCACTACATGTTCTGGTTTGTCTGTTCAAACTTATTAAATCTTAAAAAAAACTAAATATAGTGATGCATATTGTGCATCATGAAAATGCCTTGAAGTATCATGATATAATTTGGCCTAAAATGCATTTTTCTAGCATACTGGAGAGGAAAATGCTGGGCACTATAAGGCAAAATAATCCACAAAGAAAATGCTCAACAAACACTCAACATTACATATAAAAACTTGACACGTGTAGAGTCACTGGTCATTTTGGATAGTAAATTGATGGCTATATTTTCATTTATGACATTGTGACCCCTAGTTCTTATCATCACCACTGTATAGAAATCTCTGTAGTTTCTCTACAATGCATCATTTCACGTCAAATTACACTGAGTGAGTTTGCTTATAGCTCAACAAATTGAATAATGAAGAAATTGGTTGAACTCCTCTTTAAAAGGTTAGTAGTGTTTCTGTCCAGAAATATTTAGGCAACACCTTATTTGGAGTGGTCCTTTGTGGACGATTAATAAACTCTTAACAGATTATCAGTAACACAAAAACATATTAGTGAAGTAGCAGTAATGAAGCATCTCAATACATGTGCTGTTAATATTTTACTTCCATTACGCAAAACCTAACCTTACACAACCTTATCCAAACCCTAACCCTAACCTTGGCGCTAATCCTAACATTAACCTTAACCTCAAGCCAGTACCTGATCCTAACCCTCATATGTTACTGAGTCTGTTGAGTGTTTGTTTCATATAAAAGGACCACTCAAAATAAAGTGTCACCAAAAGGACTTTACCTGGCTCAGGTCATCTGGATAGGCAGCTTGGAGGAAACAGAGTGGGAGTCCAAGGTAGGTGCACTTTACAAACCGGATATTCAGCCTGTGTAAGCTATGTATACGTATGTGCACAGATGATGAATGACTTCAATGTAAACATTATATGGCATGATTCCCATGTAAAATATCAGTGACTGAATCTGGCCCACTAACTTCTAAAACAGCTCTCTACCTTCACTTTCTGTTATAGCCACGCCTTTCCATTTCTTTGAAATCACACATGGACCACAGTCCCCTCCCCGTGTTAAGGTCTTCTCTGTGCTTTGGTGTGTTTCTCTGCATTCTAACAGGGAGATTTCATCATATCAAACAAGCTTTACATGTAACGGCTCACACTGCAGTGTCGCTCTTTCAAACACCATTAATAAATCAGAACTGTCTTCCATTAGAGGCAAGAAATGTCCTTAACCCCTTAAATGGCCACGGCCCACCTGCAGGCCTGAAGTTTTATCACACACTTCTATAACCTAAGAACAGCTCAGCCAGTTTGCACTGAAGCCCCTGAATTACTGAATAATAGTCTTAGTACATAATAAGCCTGAGATTTTAAGGGGTCCGAACACTGATGGCCCAGTGTTGCACATAATACACTCCTTTGCACACATGTTGTCTTGTGATTGACTGGCCACGATCAAGGCTCATCTAAGTCTCAATTCCTGTGGTTGTGGGTGAGATGATAAGGAAAAATATGCTAACCGCGTGGCTGTGGTTGAAAATACGCTTCAATGTGTTATAGTCTCTAAATTAGTGCAGAGGAAATAGCCTTCTAAAATCATTTAACACAGTCTAAACACTTCTTCAAACATCCTAAACAAAGCAGCTCATTTTGATAACAGCCAATAACTCCTAAAATGAGAAGTATTCCATTTTTTTCCATGTATGACACCAGATAAAGGGGTGAGGATTCATTTAACAAAACATTTCATTTCGTAAAGGTTTTAATGTGAGAAAAAAGTCACATGAAACAACCTCTAACATCTGCTTTTTTGATGTGTGAAATGTTCGAAAGTGGGTCAGCATAGGTTACTGGAAGTGGTTTCTGACTTTAATGTAAACAAAGACTTTCCTACGTGTAAAAATCCCTTTAAGTTACAAAAGTAGTCAAAAATTTTGTATTTTTAGTCAACCTCAAAGGGATCATGACATAAACAGCAGTTTTGACTCATTTCATGACATCTCATGGTTCAGAGCTGAGCTTTAATGTTCACAGTATTCTCAGATGGGAGTCGCTAAAACCATACGCAAGTGAAAGTGTTGCTTCAGTGAGATCATGACTAAAGCAGCCTAGCAAGAAACTCAGGTAAAAAAGCATCAGGCTCTTCAAGCACTGATTAGAAAAAGAGTAATGTGTCGTGTCTGAAATGGTCCCCTAATCACTATACCCTGCATTACACTATGCACTATCTAGAACAGTATTATAGGAACCAGAATTTGTGATGTAGTAAACAATTTTGGACACTAATGTTAAATGGGTTTGCTCATTATAATCTAGTGTATTATGGGTATATCCTATCCGCTAGGGTACATTGATTGTACACTACTTATTGGGGTGCGCTGTGGGACTATTTGAGTGCACTGGATCTTCTGCACTGTTATCTGACCCCACGATAAAATGGCAGAGCCCCTAAACTACTGCACTATATGGTGAATATGCACAGTTTCGGACACTGCTATGGACTTTTTACATGCGGCGTCCCATATATGTGCGCTCTACTGTTGCTTAGCAACTGGCCAGTAATCTCTCCAAAGTGGGGCACATGATGCAAATTTCCAATTATTTTGACGCCATTTCCTTTTTAACATAGTGTAAATCACAAACGGCTCCCTACTCCCTAGATAGTGCACTGCACAGGTCACAAAACTATGGCTTCTGCACAGAAGTGCTCTAAGTGTTAGATAGGGAGTCATGCAGCTAATGGCTAAATATTTATGGTTTTGACATATAATGCATATTTTGGTGCAGAAGCTATTATTTTATTACCTACATAGTGCACTACATAAGGAATAGGATGCCATTTGAGATTGAGCCATGGAGTCCCTTTCAGTTTGTGCACATGAGCAGAAATAATTCAAAGTAAAAAAAACAATTAATGAGCAAAAATCCAGGCCCCTTCATCAGATTTACTGACATCTGCTGGGAAATTCACATGGTCACTTGAATAATCTGATAACTGCCAACATGATTGAATGATTGGTGTGCATGTAAACATATTCAAACAACATGTGCAATTCACTTGAATCAGCTGATCTCTGCAGTGATTCTAATATGGCAACTGGTGAACTCTAGTCACGTTCACTGAAAGAACCACACAAAATGAATTAAGTTTAAATATTTGTTATAAGATGCTCCTTTCCAGAAGAATGAGTTCCAAATGGGAGAGGAACCTAAGGTTCCTGATGAAGCACAAACACAGTTATTTGTTAAGAAGATTTTAAACATGCTTACATCAGGATATTTCTGTGGTTGAAAAAAACACCTTTCTGTGTTTCCCCGGGGGAAGAATCAGATTGTTGTTGTGTAAAGTTGAGGCTAGATAAAACCAACTTGTTGTGATTCATATCTTACAACATGGCCACCTTGTTGACATTTATGGCTAGAACTTGCAGTGGTGTTATTGTGCTACGTGCAAGCTTAAGGGAGTAAAAGCAAAAGAAATAAATGAATAAAGGTATGTATAGGTTTCAAATTTAATTTGAAGTCCATGTAAATATATACATTCAGAAAACCTGTATAGAGAAATATATAAATTTGGAAATAGAACCAACTTTATCTGTGTAAAAATATGTAGAAATTTGAAAATAAAACCTACTTTATCTGGGTAGGAAGATGTAGGAATTTGAAAATACAGCCTACTTTAGCTGTATAGACAACTGTAAATATGTTTATTCCCACCCACATAAAACGAATTACTTAATAAATAAATAAAAGATTAAGAAACTGCTTGGCAGATATGAAAAGGGCGCCATCTTGTGTTTTACTGTTATTTTTTCTCTCTCTAATGGTTAAATCATCATTACCCTGATAGCTTCTTGTGGCAGCTTGTAATTTTTTTTCACTTTTTGACATAATTTGAAAATGTCCGTTGCTCTTTACATTTCATGATGAAGGGACCAAAAAAAACGACCCAAAATTACTTGGAAAACTTTCTGGTTCCATTGACTTACATTAAAAGTAAAGTTTGTTTTTTCCTTCGTCTGTAAAGTTACCATTTTGGAGATAGGAGGTTTTGTTCTGACAGCAGCAATATGCAGAATCCCACTGGTATGGGTTCATGCAGGGGTTTCGCTTATTGTGATGGACACAATACTACTTGAGTGCTAATAGCTGTGGAGAATCTGAATTATTGTGGAGAAAATTAGATTTGTATATTTCAGTTAAAATGACAATTTTGTCCACTTACTGGGATTCATAATTCTTAGAAGTATTATTATGTAGTTTTAAATGTGGTGCTACAATATTTTAATTTGTGCTATAACACTTTCACCCTCCCCAGCACCAGCACTACATGCTCAAAACGTCAACATACAGCCCTGTTATGTAATACAAATAGATTTTAGCTGGCATAGACGTCTGTCACGTTGGCCTCATAGCTTCAGAAGTGAGCTGCAGACACCAAACATGTCTTGGCTGATTGACAACATGGAGGATAAGAAGGGAAATTAGACTTTTTGTTGAACTGCTCCTTTAAGAGGAACACATTCTTCTTAAGGTATACTAGACTGTGTTACTCATGGTCAGAAAAGTGTTATTTAGTGTGCTTTATAATCCAGTTAAGCTATGTGACCTTAACATTTGATCCGACCATAAAATTTGTCAGGTCACTTTCTTGTTACCTTTGACTGCCACATGATGCCTGATTGAGTCACAAACCATCCACGTGTTTAATGCGTGGAGGTGTGCGTGTGTGTGTGTATGTGTGTGTGGGGGATAGCTTGTTGTGTGTATGGATGTGTGTGGGTGTGTATATAACCTTAATGTTGGGCATCACATTCTTTCTTCTCCCTCAAGGCAACAGTGAACACAGATAGTCGTGGTATAGGTAATCCTCATCACCATGGTAACTGCAAGAACCTCATCCTTCCTCTCCTCTTCCTCTCTTTCTCTCTGTCTATTATTTTGCAGCTCTAAGCATTTTGCTGTTGTTGAGATAAAGAGAGAGGAAAGCCCCAAAATAGTTAGGAGCCGTGTTTTGTTTTGCACAGCGCTTCATTGTGATGCTACCCTTTATCTGCCTATTGTGCTGGAATCTATAAACACACTAATCATAGGCTATCGTGTTCGAGCTTCCTTCTACACAAAAAGTGAAATGACAGCTTCTGCAGGATACTGCGCATTGTGTTTCTCAGCCTATACTAGCATTTATCAATCCTGGCCTGGACTTACTCTGCACCGCTCAGTGCATTGAACTAATCAGTTAATTAATAAACACTTCCTGAGTTAGACTGGGTGTGTTAGAGCAGGGCAAACAATAAAATATGCAGGGCAGGGGTCAACAGTGCAGCTAGGATCTTATGGTTAAGAGCCCCAGTGCAATAAATATTAATTGCCCCACCATACAAAAATTACCATAAAAATAACTGACAATTAATTTGCTTGTCTACTCACTATTGATGTTGTTTACTTGCTATGAGTTGGCGTGGCTTTTGCATTATGATATGATGATATCTTACATCTTTCTTGAATTTTATTTTTCCCCTGCTTTTAAGACTAATATATCGCTGTTGTCTGAACAAAACATTGTATCTCCAAAATGGTAACTTTATAGGAGAAGGAAAAAACAAACTTTATGTTTAATGTAAGTCAATGGAACCAGACTTTTTTCAAGTAATTTCGGTTCATTCATCATGAAATTCACACACAATGTAAAGGGAAACAGGCATTTCCAAGTTACGTCAAAAACTGAAAAATTACAAAAATGGAGATGCGAGGTTTTGTTCCAACAGCAGCGATATGTAAATTAAATCTCTTCTGATTGGCCCTGTATTGTGCCTCACTCAAAAAGCAATCTAGGCTGGAACACTCCTTATAACTTCAGTGTGAAAGGGTGGAGCTAAACGGCTAAGGGCTGCATAGGTTGGTATATTTAAATTGAAAAACTAGGATATAATTTTAGGAGAAAACCCACATCTACTGCTCTGCTAGCGCCCCATAACACACAAGCA